TACCCGAGCCGAACCCAAGCCGTACCCGAGTCATACCCGAGCCGAACCCAAGCCGTACCGTGAAGAGAGACTAGTTACAGCGCGGTTCCAGCTTGCTGTGGTTTTAAACTGCAGAAGGTTCGGCTCCGTAAAGGTGTTGGTGGATTTGGAAAGTGAGAGTGACGTAAAACGTTAGAGATGCTTATTTGCTGTTCACACAGTGTACTGTTCACACAGTCATTTACTGTGTGCAATTATTATTATTATTATTATTATTATTATTATTAGTTTATTAATATTTACTGTTCATACTGTGTACATCATGATTAACTGTGTGCTCATTTCTGCTAGGAAATCTGTGAGAATTGCCGTCATATGTTAGCATCAAACGTGAGCGGAATTAGCATTTGCTTGTGCAAAACTGCAGTATGAGTCCATTCCATTCAGCTGTTCTATAGTACCTTTTTAGGTAGAAGGTGGGAAATGCATTAATAGATCATGATGAGCAATACTACTAATAATGACTAATATGTAGAATTTGCCCTTATTTCCTCCAGATAATCCATGCCTAGAACACGGGTATCCTTGTGCATTTCGACCAATCAGATGGTAGTGATGCCAGCAGCTCAGATTGGTCACACTTTCGGCCCTGCTAGTAGGCGGGCAGGGCCATGTCAGCGCGGGTACAGGCTTGGTACAGCGCGGGTACGGCTTGGTACAGCGCGGGTACGGCTTGGTACAGCGCGGGTATGGCTTGCTTCTTGGGGGTAGTAATAAAGTGGCATGAAATGATTACCTCATAAGCAGTAATAATCCTAGCCCCCCCAGAGACAAGGTGATGTCACAGTTCCCTACCTTGCCGTGATCTGGTGTTCTGGCCCAGCCTGCATCTAGGCTTCTGCTCCACATTTCCTGCACATAGGTGTCACTCACCCCACCTTACCTAAACACTCGAGATGGCATGTCCTCTCTACCCTGCCCCAGAGCCTTTGCTCTTTCACATCAACGTGTATCAAAGTTGCTGAGTCATTCAAGATTTTCTCTGGTGTCATAATTTCATCGCAAAATTGGGGTTTGTAATGGGCACTGATCCCAGGAGATTATGTTCCCCTTTTATCAATTAATTCTAGAAACACCTGTTTGTAGGAATTTTTAAAGATGCTGC